GGGGGGGGGGGGGGGGGGGGGGGTGTCGGAGTCGGAGAGTCGGTTCCACGCTCCGAGTCTGTTCCGGGTTAGGTGCCCCTCTCCCGCGTTTAAATGTGCGGTGATGCGCTTATTCTGGAAGTCACACTGCAGCTTTTGGATTTGATATTTAATAGAGAACTTGCATAGGGAGAGTGCAGACATGGCAAAGTATGGAGCTCTGGGGGCCCAAAACGGGCAGCCAACCTTCTAACACGAAGAACACTAGAAAAATTCCGCTTCTAAATGTGCGGTGATGCGCTCATTCTGAAAATCACACTGCAGTTTTTGGATGTGCTTTAGGTTTCTTATTTAATAAAACATCTTAAAAAGGGAGAGTGCGAACATGCCGAAATATGGAGCTCCTAAGGCCCAAAAGGGTAGCCGACCTTCTAAAAACAAAAAACACTTGCGGTGATGCGCTCATTCTGAAAGTCAACCTGCAGCTTATGCATGCGCTTTGGATTTGGTATTTAATTGAGTACTTGCATAGAGAGAGTGCAGACATGTCAAAATATGGAACTCTTGGGGCACAAAAGGGCAACTATAACTTTCTAACCCGAAAAACACCAGATAAATGCCACTATTAATCTTCCTATTCCAGTATCAATACAAAATGGCCGAGAATGTTTATAAAGAGAGTCCGTCGGCAAAAATTAGTAAATATATGGAAAACTGAGTTAAATACGTGCTTCACTAACAATGAGTCGTGACAATTGTAATAATGAATCATTCTGGACAGTTGAATCTTACAAGCTCGAAAACTGGGCAATGTTACAAAACTAAAAACCCTTTCACTTTTCTGAACTTTCGTTCAAGTCTCTAATGAGTAAGTTTTCAATTGTATCGGGTCATGCAAAAATCTCTACATTCCATTTTACCGACGGGGGCTCAAAATCTGCGCAGTGTTGCAAAGGCAAAAACGCTCCTACTTTTTTGAACTTTTGTTTAAGGCTCCGACGAGTAAAATTTTAATTGAATCGGGTAATCGTTATTTCCCATTATACTACTGAGGACTCAAAAACTGCGTATTGTAACAGACACAAAAACGCGCTGACTTTTCTAAACTTTCGTTCAAGTCTCCAAAGTGGCTTGTCAATTGAATTAAGTCATAAGAAAATTGCTTTTTCCCTTTTTACCCACAAAGACTCCAAAACTGCGAATTATTATAACAGATACAAAAAACGACCATACTATTTTAAACTTTCATTCAAGTCTCCAATGAGTAAGTTTTCAATCGAATCTAGTCCATGCGGAAATCGTTATTTCCCATTTTATGACTGAAGGCTAGAAAACCGAGCATTGTTACACACCTTGCGGACATCATTTCTAAGGGTCTCTTCATACTTTAATGAAGCGCTATTTTACTATTTATCCGCTCACTTGTCTATTTTTACTCTCTCTCTCTCTCTCTCATGATTAAAAATTTTTCGAGCGATGTCTCAAAAATTGGATTTTCTGTTGGACAGAGCGGCGACGGCAGCGCTGGTGGAGAAGCAGAGCAGCGAAATGTTGGAGCTGATCAACGAAAAACGGAGCGAGTACATGATGGCCGAGTCCCTGTACCTGGACGAGGGGGGCGGCTACACGGAAGACGCCCTTCTCCCCTACCCCAGTCAGGCCCCGGTCCCCGCCCCACCCGCTATCTCAAAGTTCCAACTTTACAACGACCCCATCGAGTTTGCTCACGTCGATCAAATCGCCATCTCGGTAAGTTCTGGCAACCTGAGGCTTGTCCTCTCATAAATTCGGGGCTTTTAAACCCGAACACTGGAAAAAAAAAACACATTGGATCTACAGTCAAGACTCTTGAAAACATTGACAAGAAAAAGGACTCTTGATTCAATCCGATTTACGCTTGAATCAAAAGGAAATCCGCTCAAATTAAGAGGCTTGGTTCTTGATTTAAGCTTGAATCTGATTGAATCAAGAGTATTTTTTCTTGTCGATGTTTTTAAGAGTCTGGACTCTAGATCCAATGTGTTTTTTTTCCAGTGAATGCTAGACGAAGAAGAGAGGAGAAATGAAAGGGTGAAGAGGATGAAGGAGAAGGATAAAAATGAGGATAAAGAGACGAGAATTAAGACGTCTTTTTCTCACTCTTTTCTCCTCCTCTTCTTTATTTTTTTCTTCTTCCTTCTGTTCTTCCCCACTTTCTTTTCGCTTGTTCTCCTTTTCTTCTTCTTCTTCCTTTTCTTCTTCTTCTTCCTTTCCTTCTTTTACTCTCCTTCTTCTCTTCCTAATTAGTTCAGTTTTGCACAAATCGTCGTTTCCCGGACGAAGGAACTTAACTCCATTCTAAGATTGCAAAATTGACGCAGATAATTCAATTTTTTACAACAATGCACCCGGGCAATTTTTGTCTAAAATTTGTCTGATTTTTGCATGAGATTAGAAGAAATATCAGTTAAATTTTCAGTCAAAAATGCCCAGGATTCTCCTGGTAAAAATGCAATTTGTTAGGAGAAATTCGGCCACATAGAAATGCAATTACGATCTATCCTGATTCCTGAGGGGAACGACGGAATCTCGTAAGAACTTCAGCTGAATTTGATTGATCTTGGGAGGGAATTATCCATGTTTTCTCCAGAGAGCTCCCATAATTGAATAAGCATTCGATTGCGAACTGCTCTTGGAAATTTTAAAACATTGTAGTGGACTCTTGCGATCTTATGCAAAACAATGATTCGTTTTTGCTTACATCTGTAGCTCCCTATCCATCTCTTCCTTTTGCGCTCACCACAAATGGATTACATTTTGCAATAAGGAACCACTACCTCTGGCTCTTCCATAAAAACACCTTTCTGCATAGAAAAACCGATGACAAATATGTTGTTTCTAAAATGAGCCAGAAATAGTGGTTCCTTATTGGAAAATGTGGCCCACATATTCTACCGTGCTAAGGAAAAACGCCGTATGAACCTTCAAGCGTTGCCAAATTTCCTTTGGTTTATCACGAATTCTTGGGAATTTGTGTGACTATTTTTCTTCAAATTTTGTATATAATTTTGTGCGCAATTTCAATTAAAGTTTCTGAAAATTCTAGGAAAAATATTCATAACTTTCCTCAATAATGAACATTTTATCGAGGGAAATATGGCAACGTCCGAGGAATCATGCGGAGTTTTTCCTCGGCTCGGTAGTATTATACATGCACAGGAATAAAAGAGAAACCGGCACAAAATGATGAAACCGAAGATGAAGAGCTTCCTATTTCGGCGAGGGCTTTCGAGGCCCTTTTGTTTACACTGCCAGCGAAAAGGCGCAGCATCATTCGGTGGGCGTAAGCTCGATTGCGAACTTTCTTCGCTTTTTCTGCGCGCGCACGGAACTGGACACTATGAGAACGACCCATTGACGTCAGGCCGGCCCGGCCTCCGAGTGAGTCGTGACGTTCGAATGTGACGTTTGACGCTTCGTCCGCGTCCAGGGGGAGCCAAGAAAGCTCCACAGACCGACGCGACGGATCGGGATTTGATGTGACTAAGTGCACTGTTGACAGGTTGCGCGAAGGATAGATGAAATTGAAGGTACTTTTTACTTTCTCGCTCTCCTTGCGAGTATGGAAACAGTATTTTCATTGTCTAGGAAAAAAGAGAAGGAAAATGAAGAAAAAAGAAAATAAAAAGAAGAAAAAAGAAGAAAAAGAGAAGAAAAAAAAGAAGAAGAAAAGAAAAAAAGGAAAACGAAAAAAGAAAAGAAAAGAAAAGAAAAGAAAAGAAAAGAAAAGAAAAGAAAAGAAAAGAAAAGAAAAGAAAAGAAAAGAAAAAAGAAAAAAGAGAAAACAAGAAAAGAAAAGAAAAAAAGGAAAAAAGGAAAAAAAGAAAAAAGAGAAAAAAAGAAAAAAAAGAAAAAAAGAAAAAAAATAAAAAAAATAAAAAAATAAAAAAATAAAAAAAGAAAAAAAAGAAAAAAAGAAAAAAAATAAAAAAAATAAAAAAATAAAAAAATAAAAAAATAAAAAAATAAAAAAATAAAAAAAGAAAAAAAAGAAAAAAAGAAAAAAAAAGAAAAAAAAGAAAAAAAAGAAAAAAAGAAAAAAAGAAAAAAATTTAAAAAAATAAAAGAAATAAAAAAGGAAATTGTAACTGGAGTCCATAATTGTAAACTTTAAATACTGTTACTAATTGGAGCTCAAAATTGTTGAGATTTTTAAAACCTTCTGGCCTTGTTTCCCCAGCAAAATAGTGTAGAACCAGCCCTATTTTACCACCTTGTTTATTTTAAAATTCAACGATGTAATAATGCCATTAAAATTGAGCGTAAAATGAGCCTGTTAAGGAATTCCTTTCTGAGCGCGTGAAAAAGTAAGATTTAAAAGTGGTGAAAAGTGTAAAGGGCACGCTAAGATTTGCATCGAGGAAAGAAATTGAAAGATCGCTAAGATTATGCAAATGTTGCTCACTCTGATTTACGAACACAATTTCGACCTGTTTGTCCGCGTTCATGACCATTTGTTCATCTTTAAAGCTGCCGCGCTAAGGAAGAATGCCGTATGAACATTACTGAGTTGCCAAATTTCCCCAGATAAATTATGCATTTTTTGACGAAATTAATGCATATTTTTCCTTAAAATTTTCAGATATTTTAGATTTAAATTGCGAACAAGATCATCTGAAAAATTGAAAGAAAAATATTTATCATTTCCCCAAGAAATTTGTAATTTATCAGAGGAAATTTGGCAACGCCTGAAGGTTCATACGGCGTTTTTCCTTAGCACGGCAGAAAGGAGGAAAACGAATGCATTCTGAGGAAATAAATGCAGGTCTTAGACTTGACTCAAGATAAGCCGATCAAATTAAAAGCACATTAGTGGAAAACAATTAAGTACTCTGTGTTTCGAAAGTAATCTCAAATTAATTACATTTTCCGATTGTTTCGTATTGTTGCCGAAATTCGTTTCTTCCTGTTGCATTTTCAAGTGCGAACTTAAGGAAGAAACAGGCTTCAAATATAGTTGGAAACAAACAATTCTTATATATTGATATTTTAAAATGGTGTTTCCGAAAATATATATTAGCTTCTCTAATCGCATTTTGACGGTGAAACCTCCAAAACACGTAACTCGTTCACGGTGTTCTAAAATATCCGCTGTAAGGCAGTACAAACACATATGCCTTGAAGTTTTCAGGAATTTTCTTCGCACAGTGAAAAAAAAAACATAAGTTTTTCAGTATTGACATTAAGTAGTTTCCCACACAGAAAACGAAATATGGCAGGAAGTCTGCAACGATGGAAACCGAGATACGTGGTTATTGGAAGAGTCTTTGTCGAAATTTACAAGTATTGTAAGTCTGTCCATAAGAAAATAAATCCCGAATTCTGGAAGACAATCAGACAGATGAGCTGTTCCCGTCATGCCGGAAAATTTTCTGTTATTGTCAGTACATTTTGGTGCTTACGACTTGTGCGTTGTTTTGAGGAGTGAGCATTTTGCATCTCAATCCGACACTTTTATGCTCTGTGTATAGCAGATTAAAATTGAAAATGCCTTCCTCAAAACATCGTTTCTTTGTACTTTAAACATTCAGCTGTCATAATTCCGGTTTAGTTTGGAAATTTTTCTAGTTTTGGCACGAATTTATTGTAAATCGGTCTTGCGTGCGATGCAACTACACAGAGAGAAAACTCAACACAAAAGTTTGGTTAGTACGGGAAGTAAAACACAAAATAATCAATGCGTGAAGTATTCCTACAGTCTTTTAGGCGCTAGTATGCGTTTTTCGCCGACTCTACTCCGCACTGTGTTCGACGCAGTGCGAGAAGTATTCCTACAGTCTTGTAGGCGCTAATATGTGCTTCAAGCTGATCGCGCACTGAGTTTGGCGCAATTATTCAAATTGCGGATAGAGCATTCCTTAACTTGTTCGTGTCGATGCACAAAAGCCAGAGCAACGATCCAGAAACGATAGACAGGGTGATCCCATGCCACGCCAACCGTGAAATTTGTAACACGAGGAAGGTCGGTTTCCATGGTTTCTTATGGGACTGTTGCTGAGCTGAATGAGGACTTTTATAAAATTCAAAATGAATCGTGTGAATATCTGTGTCCAGCTATGAAACCCAGCCATTCTAAGCCTTCGGTTGACCCTGAGGTTACGAGTCTCTCCATTGTTTTCTGCGCTAAATTTACCGTAAACTGTACCAAAATAAACACAAATTTTTGGTTAGTTTGTATTTCCTTTCCTTATTAACCAAAAGTAACTTAAGAACACAAATATCATTTTCAGTATATGAACACTGAAAAAAAAAATCACAACCCTTACTATACTCCTGGCTGATTTCGGAGCCAGATGTAGGGTAGTTGCACTAGCCAGAGGTATGGTTGATCCAACCACACTTTTGGCGGACTCAACCGTACCTCTGACTGGTGCAACAACGCTTACATCTGCCGTCAAAATAGCCAGGAGTATACTCGGGATTTCGATACTTTCTTCCGTGGAAAATCATACCATTTTTAGTTATTCGGTTCTATGATCCCTTTCATTTGTGGACGATCGATCCTGTTAGATTTGTATAACACGAGGAATAGTTTGAAGGCTGGAGAAAATTAGGAAAATATGATTTTTGCACAGTCCGGCAACGTTTTGCACCATGCTACGCACAGAATGACTGTCAAATAAATTGCGCTCTTCTCACAGTTTTAAGCGCCGAGTAATTGGCGCGACGTGCTCCGATCAGCCTGTCTCGTGTTGTCAAATCGATGACTCGAGTGCAGCGGTATCTTGGCGTGCTTTGCGATGTATCGATTGATCTGCCATTTAAACCTATGGAAAACGATCGATGTACAGGGTGTTCGCAACGGAAACCTTAATAGTCGATTCTTTACCACAGCTTCAAGTGGGGGAATATCGATGATCGATCATTCACGCCTCGCCACTGGAGTGCAGAGCTGCTGGGCTGAGGAAAGATACCACTAGAACATCGAAATATAACTGAATTTTTCCCGATAAAATATGCATTTTTAACGCAAGCTGAATATTTGGTCGTATCTCTGCCAAACGGAACTATGTGCATTTAGACATGAGCCCTGAGACCCATAAGAACAAGAACATAACAGGGCTCAGTCATAATGCACATAGCTCCGTTTGACAGAAATACGTTAAATACGTTAAATACGTATACGTTAATTCACTAAAATTTTCAGATACTTTAGATCAAATTGCCCCAACAATTTTCTAAAAAAAGAAACCAAAGAAATATATCGGCCAGTCTTCAGGGAAATTCGGATTTTTAAGGAGAAATTTTACAACGTCCCAATATTCTCACGGCATTTTTCCTTGGTCTTTCGGAGGAGACACGTATGCACAAGCAAAAGAACCGATGCGAGAGCGGGAACTGATCTTTTTTGATACCGCATCCTCGATTCCTCTAAATTCAAATCCAGCTTATGTCTGCTTTTTACTTTGTTTTAGGTGGCGCAAGAAGATCAAAAGACTTTTACCGATTTAGTAAGGCAGTTGGTAGGGAGATGTGGATCCGATATCGAAAAAGCCAGGTATGTAAAACAAGACAAAGAGAAATTTATTGACAGAAATATATATTTCGCGCTCACTTATGATTTTAACATATGGAGAACACGAAGTCGTTATTTAATGAAGTATGAGCTGGGGTCGTATTCTGGTCGACAAGTACCGAGTCCGCTATGCGCCGAGATTCGGTCACCTTTTCGATACATTTTCGATCCAAAATGGCGGTGTATGATACGTAACAATGCATAAGTTCTTTGTTTACATCGGATGACCTGGTACTCGTGTATCAAAAACTATCGATAATGTATCAAAATGGTGACTCAGCCCCTCACAGGAGTCACGGAATTCGTTGACTGGAAAATGCTTAAAAGTGGTGCCAGCTCCTCCATTCTTATTACGACTTATTAATTCTATGGATTTTTGAACATATTTGAAAATATTGATGGTTGTTGCGCATATCATAAAAATAAGGAGTATGGTAGATTTTGCGCAATACATTTTATAAATCCCTGGTAAAAATTGGCAGTAGAATCTGTGTTCCAATATACCATAGACCCACAGCCGGCTGTAAGATTTCCAATAGCTTCTATAGCCGGCTGCACAATTTCTCATAGCCTTTCATAGCCGATGGCGATTAAGCAACAGCCAGGCGATAAAGTGTATGCTAAACGTTACTAATTACGGATGCTAGGACTCAGTGAGTTTTTGGAATACTGCTCTCTTTTTGGGCCGTAGTATCTTGATTTATTTTGCGAGGAGAGCTTCGTACTTTTGATGGATGCCTGCCAGTCCTAATATATTAGAGCGCCTTCAGTTTCGTATGATACTGTGCAATACCTCTGGTGTGAAATACTTGCTTCAAGCGCCGTGGCAGGAGGGCAGCCAGCTCGAAACACGCATTGGCGCCTACAAACCCAACAGGGATACTTCACGCGTTGCGCAATGCGTGAAGTATCCCTGTTAGGTTTGTAGGCGCCAGTGCGTCGCCGCTTCGCTTTGTGTTAGGCTCTAATATTTAATCTGGCGGAGTCAGCGTTATTCAACTTATGATTTTGAAATGTTTCCACATCCTGTATGGATTATCCTCATTTTAATTGATGAAAAAAAAATATATATTAAAGGAAAATATGATGTGTGTTTTGTAAATATTAAGGTGGTTCCGTATCAAACTTAATGATTTCCAAAGCACACGAATTTCTACACAATTTCTTATAACCTCATATAATCGATGGCGGAAAAGCAACAGCCAGGCAATAAAGTGTAAAGCCCGGTGATAGGAACCATAGCCCGGCTGCTTAGTTTTCATCGCTTCGTATAGTCCGGCCGTATGATTTTCTCTGCATTATACAGCCAGCTATATCATTTTCTGTAGCCTTTTTTAGCCGGCTGTAAAAATTCCTATGGTATTTTAAAACGCAGCTCTTATCGCCAATTTTTACCAGGGATTACATTCACATATAGCCGAAGCATTTTGACACAGCGGGTGCCATCTTCAGGGCTTACATAGTGAATGCATAAAACTAATAAAAAAGCAAAAATACCAAGTATAGACGGCATATTCTATGGTTCTATGGATTTTAACGATTTAAATGGAATCAACCTTCGTTCACAAGTGTAAGCTTCATCCTTATTTTAAGGTTGTAAAAAAATTCTAACTAACAAAAAAAAATTAATTAATTAAAATTATTAACTTAACAAAAAAAAACAAATTTATTTAATTTAAAGTTTCGATTCACGTGCATGGTTTCTTCCTTTGTTTGTATTCAGGACTATATTCAGATGGATTACAGTGAAGAACCTAAATACGATGCAGTTTGACGACAATCTAAGAGGCGATACTCCGATGGGTCTTCTTAGGGGGATCAAACACGGAACAGAGAGCTACCATGTTTTATTCAAGCGTCTTTGCAGGTATATTATGCGTTATCTTATCAATACTCGCCCAGTCATCGAATGGTGCCTTTGATGAACTTAAGAGCTAGTGCAACACTTTGAAAATTAGGGTCATTTGAGATTAACAGGAGTATTTCTTTTAGTTAATTATAAGGGGGCTAGACCCTACTTTTCGAGGTCGAGCCACATACAATATCTTATTGGATGAAATGGCTATTCCAAATTCATTGGGGTTGGACCGCAAAGCGAGTTATAGTAGGAGTTAAGGCGATTCGTCGTTTCCCGGACGAAGGAACGTGGCTTCATCCCAAGGTTGTAAAATTGACTCAAGCAATCCAGTTTTTTACAACCATTTACTTGTGCAATTTTTTTTTTTGAAAATTTGTCGGATTTTTGTACGAGGTCAGAAGAAAAATCAGAAAAACAAAATTTCAGTTCAAAATTCCTATGATTTGCCTGGTGAAAATGCAATTTTCACGGGGAAATTTGGCAACCTTGAAATTTAGTTACGTTCTTCTATGCGGAAGACGACGAATCAGTTACAGCTAAACTGCAACTTGTTGTGACTAAATCCCAGTAAATTGGGGTTTAAACACTTTTAAATAGGAATGGCCATTTTGCCCAACATTTTGGTCACTCTCTATTTTCCCCGTTCACGAGCACGACAGAAATCACCTGATACGTCAGCATGACTTTAAAGACAATAAGGAAGTCGAATTTCCTTCATATTAGAGTGTATGTAACCAGATTACCGCTACGCACGCATAGTTGCTCTTGGCGACTTCGGTTTTGCACACAAATGCTTCACTGGTTACTATGAGAATAAAATCATTGAGCTCTAGATATTAATGATGGCTTGATTTATACTTTAAGAAGCTGAAGAGAAAAACATAGAATCGAAGAGGACCTCTATCTCATTATCCGCAGCCTTCGATGAAAATATTCAGACACTTGAGGAAAGAAGAGATTCGCACCTCCTAATTTCCGAAGTAAATCAACTTTCATCCAATACTTAGAGAGCAACAGTCGGTAAATATGTAAGGTATTTGATAATGAATCTTAATCCGACCAAGCTCTTCAAATAACCGCTTTTTTGGGGCGCGACTCATTCCTGTGGTTTTTTGTCCTTTGCAGTTATGCAGGTTTACACTGCGTAGTCATCAAGGGCTACTCGAAATCCGCGGGTTATCAGCCTGGAATCCGCTTCGAGGACAATCGCTTCCGCAACTCGTGGAACGCGGTTTATGTGGCCGGCGCGTGGAGATTTGTGCAGTGCAATTGGGGTGCCAGACACCTCGTCAACGCTAAGGAGGTACCAAAAGCTGGCAGCAAAGGAAAATCAGATAGTTTAAGGTATGATCACTCTTCTTCTATCTTATCTTCGATTTTTTTTTTATGGAATCATGAAAACGAGCTTTAAGGTGGGTTTTAAACAAGGAAATGAAGACGGAGCACTGCATCTACTAACTCATATATTAGGAGTCGTCCCTAAATTGAATCAGTGAGTTCGAAAATACAACAACTCGGAAAAAAATTGTTCAGGAAACACCTAAAACTGCGCAGCGGGCGAAGAAGTTAGTTTAAGAAAAACCTTTTTGGTGCCAAAGGGCAAGTACTTAGAGACTTGAAATCGGTACACCATGTTTGATCACAGAGAATTAAGCGCGTTTAAAAATTTCCGAGTTGGTGTACTTCCGTTCTCACCGACTTTCAGATACTGATTTTTCATTGTCTGCCCTGAAAAATTTAAATTTTTCGACCCGAGTAACGCTTGAATATTTGTATAACTTGTTGATACAAGGTACACTGAACCGAAAAAAGAAAACCGCAAAATCGGATGGTCACCCGTTTCCCTTGAAATTGCCAAAAATTGGTATTTCCAATGAAATACTTCGATTTTTCCCTTTTCCCGTCGCTGTTTCGAGCACTTCCGATTGCGATTTCGAAATTTCCTTTTGCGTGCAGATGCTTCTATCCAAAAGTGTCACTAAACCGAAAAAAGTGAAAATCGAAAAAAAACTCGAGTTGGTGTGTTTTCGAACTCCCTGATTCTATTACATATTGCTTTTTTTTCGGAATTTTTGACCCCCTACCCCCCTAGCAACGCTTTTGTGACGTAGATTCCTTCCTTTAACACGTAAAAACAAAATAGCGCAATCCTCTCCTCGACCTCCCCCTCCCCCCTGGAGCGTCACGTAATTTAGGGACGACTCCTTATCGGACTTAATTGTAAGAGTGGCTCACAAATTCCTGCCAATTCCATGATTTAATTTAAATTTCTGTTGTAGGTATGAGTATGATGACCATTATTTCTTAACGGATCCAAGAGAATTCATCTATGAATTTTTCCCCCTTCAATCCGAGTGGCAACTCTTGAAAAACTCGATTTCACTACAAGATTTCGAAGAGCTACCTTTCGTTAGATCACTGTTTTTCCGTTACGGCCTGTATTTCCCCGACTCCCGCACCAAAGCAGTCATGTACACCGATGCAACCGGTACGTATGGTGAGCGTTCTCTAAGAGATCTCCATAATATTCATTTATGTTTTTAATATTACTTTTATATCTCAGTGAATTTGATGTGATCAGGTGCTAAGTAACTTTAAGAAAATAAATGCCTGACATTATTTAAAACGCTATCCAAGTGGCAGTAATCTTGATAAGTTACGATCTGATTGGAGAATATATCGCGATTTTCCCGACGTCAATGTATTGCAATATTATCGAAAAAAATTGCGATAAATTACGATTTCATCTAATAAATTTGCCATAAAATCGGGATTTTATCGACGGCGATTTATCGCAATACTATCGAACAAAAAATTGTGATAAATTGAAATGTTCCAATTTTATCGAACACTATTTTATAGGAAAAACATTGCGAGTAGATCGAGGATAATCGCTCATATTATGTTGATGATCCTAGCTATTTTGTCCCCGAATAATCTTCGGAAAATTGCAACTATTCATTTCAAAGTATGGCGATTTTTCCGTTGGAAAATTCTACTTGGGTATCACAAATGGATGTTCTTCTAAAAAATTAGTTTAAAAATGTGTCATGAAGTCAATTTCAGTAGAACTTTAAGAGATGTCATCTCTTTCGTCATTTTTGCCACCCTTCGAAAAAAGTACAACGTTTGGGTTACATTTTCCTATCATTTCCGTGAATTCGTTATTTCTAGTATGGCATCAGGTGCATAGATCGGAACTTTTATGTTTTTTAAAGACGAATTCGGTCAATTTTAGTGCCTCTTTCTAAAATTTCCTTTCGAAGAAAATTAGTTTCAATAGTGCCAATCTCATTCCAATCGACTGCGGCGCTTTAAGACCAACCTCAAGCTAGCTGAAAAGTTCACTGGAAAAAAAACACATTGGATCTAGAGTCCTGACTCTTGAAACCATTGACAAGAAAAAGGACTCTTGATTCAATCAGATTTAAGCTTAATCAAAAGGAAATCCGCTCAAATTAAGAGGCTTGGTTCTTGATTTAAGCTTAAATCTGATTGAATCAAGAGTATTTTTTCTTGTCGATGTTTTTAAGAGTCTGGACTCTAGATCCAATGTGTTTTTTTCCAGTGTTAGCTGAAATAATTCCCTTAATTTAGTTCATCTTCAAAGTAGAATAAATCACCCATTTACGTTTGATGAAACTATTACTAACATTCACGAACATGCTTCAAAAAATCGCCAACAAAGTTCCTGATTTAAAGTTCAATATTCCCTCATCCCACCGAATATTGTTCTTCGTGCATACTTGAATTTAGTTATTTGTATCTACTAATACAGGTGCAGCGACAGTCCGGATTGCAATGCCAACAAATATGCAGTCCAGTTTAATATTCCATTATAACTTAAAACTATACGGCAGCGAAGGCGACACCTACGACAATGTCAGCTTGAAACGATTTGTCATGCAGGTAAGCCCGGAAAAAACCTTTTCTTTTCATGTTTTACAGACATTTTTGCATTATAACTTTCGGAAAGTAGTTTTCGGCAATACTTTTTCTTCACCAATTGCGTCTTTGAATTAGAATCCAGCTGAATATAATTTTCAGAAGCTCTAGAGAGCAATCGATCTTAAAACAACTTGATAGTTAGAATCATATCCTTCATTACGTCCCTCTTTTTTCCTGAATACAAACTTCTTGCCAGGAAATAAGAGGTATGCGTTCTAATACCATAACCGATTCAAGTCCAATTGGATTGCATTTTGCAGAAAGGAATCATGAGAATTTTAGTGTTGCTAGGATTGTGCAACTTACATTCTTCGCAAAAAATTACTGAAATCATGCAAAAAATTTAATGCACAAATGTAATTTTCGTCTTGAATTCATAGTTTATCGGGGGTAGAGATAACCTGTTTAGATGATCAGTTTTTATTTGCAACAAGTTGCACAATCTTAGCGACATTGGAATGATCTTGGTTCCTTTTTGCAAAATGCAATCCAATTGATTGTTCAATAATCGCACATAAGTAAAAGTATGGTAAAAGTCAAAGAGAAAATGCCTTCAAAAGCTATGAGCACGAGGTCAAAGTTTAGTTGGAGAAAGTGATGAAGCATATTATTAATTTATCTCGCTGGAACTGCTTTTGCAATTATTGCATGCACGTACCAAGCAATAATTTTTACTGATTTAATTAATTTCAGTCAAGGTGCGACCTCTTTCGTGGGGGGAATCGGTGGGGGGTGTGGAGAAGGAGAGGGAGGGGGGAGGGGCTGGCAGCGACGATGGCTCACTGAGGCTTGATCGTGCCACCGAAGCAGCACTACTAAATGATCTGCAATGCGTTGACCCTGCAAGAAAATAGAGACGAAGTTTAGATCCGTATTTTTTTCTTGATGTGTTTGTAAACTTCCAAGATTGCTTGCATTTGTATAAAAAAAATCATTCATCCCAGATTCACACCATCTATGCTTTCGAGAATGTCCACATTTTGTAGTTGAAAATCTTCAATTTTGTGATTTAGCATCATGTAATCTTCAGGCACGAGAAGTATTCATGAACCAAGTTTATGTTTACTTCATTTCTAAGACAGTGGCGACTCTTAAAAGTTGGCAACACTGTTTATCCTCCGCTTAAATCCATTAAAAATATCGATTTTAGGTGAGGCAATATGCCGCGTTAAGAATTGATTGTTTTACATACAATTAAATGGAATAAAAACAGCGTCGCCAACTTTCAAGAATCCCCACTGCAGAAGCAATGAAGGCGAATGAAACTATCAGACAAAAGTTATTGCACACTTTCTCACATCTATCTGGACAGCTTTAAAATTTCGTAATCGAACCAAATTCCTTTCTTGTGCGCTTATTGTTTCTTTTTTTCTCTCTTTTTTAACATTTTGATTTTATTTTCCCAGCACGTGGTTGAAAACGTAGCCGCATTTAAATCCTCCTCTCAATGAAAAAAACTCTGACACAGTGATTCGAGTATGATAATAAACACTAGACTCTATAGTGGCATTTTCCACATTATGGAAGGTATCGCCAGAGTTCCTGTAAAAACTACTATAATTCTGGTTATTTTCACTTAGGGTGTGTAAAAAATTAATTAGACTTAAAGTAGATGGTACCATACTTTTTCTTCGGTGGCTTAAATCCAATAAAAATGTCGATTTTAGGTGAGTCAATTTGCCTCATCAAGAATCGATTGGTTTATATACAATTTAATGGAATAAACACAGTGTTACCAATTTAAAATTTATGTTTCCAGTCCGTGGTTGGAAATGTCGCGGCCTTCCGAGTGCACGCCCCTAGCAGCGGGGCCTTCTTGTTGGACATATTCGCAAACGCTGTGACGCCCAAAGAGTACCTGACCGGAGAGCCAATGAAATTCAAGAGCGTCTGCAAGTTCAAAATCATCTGCGAGGAGCTCCAGACCGTGATGGTTCCTTTGCCGGACTGCGCGAGTGGCGAATGGGGACCAACCAAGGCAACGAGACTCTTCGGGCTCATCCCAATCACACATCAGGTAATAGATCGTTTTCGATAGTGGTTCGATGTGTCGTTTGGTTTGAAACAATAGAACGTAACCTCAAACAAAACTTTCAGGATTTCAGTCGGAAAAGCTGAAAATGAGAAAATTCCCAACTATTTCGCCTTGCGATGCCATTTAGTACTCATAAGAATCAGAAATCTATCAGAAAAACCCCGTTTCCTCGGATTACTAGATTGATTTTTGAGGCTATGTTTACATGTTGAACCAATCGATATCGATATAATCTCACCTATTCAATGTATCGAGAACGATCTATACTCGTCATCCGAGGCATCGAGAGTTTGAGCTGTAAGAGTAAAAAAAATCGACTTGAGACAAGAAAAGCTGTTGAAACAGATGGAGAAAATCTTTATTTATTTTTTATTTATTCTACAGTTTGTACAAAATGAGCTGCTACTTAATTGAGCTCGTTCACGGGAGTTGGTATGCCATTGCCAAACACTGCTCTAAATGTCTACTGACAGTGTTTCCGCTAAATTTTCTCTAACATAAAATCGCCTATTTTTTCCCAACGTATTCATACATATCGTTACATTCCGTTATCATAATTCGGCAAAAATTGAAGGCGCCTCCATGACAACGCCTGGATGATGCAACTATTCGTGCTCTCGGGATATCAGTGTTGCATACCCACACAATTTCAGGCGCTCCGAGTTTCCTAATCGCCCTATCCGACTGCGACCATTTTGACGGCATTCTCCAGAATTAGGCTCTGCCTAACTATCGCTCATGTTATATTAATCACGTGTCATTCATTTATTATATGACATGTCATTCTATTAATGTGTTGAAGGCAAATAGTAAAATCAGGCGTTTTGTCAAATGCCTAGGCAAATAGTCAAATATTCTGACTTACAAAAAAAATATCTGATTCTTCTCTTAATTACAGATGAAAAAAATTCATTACGCCTGAAAGACTGAATTCTCTGTAAAAATGTGCATTATACATGAGTATTTTGAACGATTTTTAGCTCCTGAAAGAACATTTATCTTGAAATCTTCAGCATGTCTTAAAATACAAAATTTTTAAAATTTTAAATTTAAAATATATGTAAATCACTTGTAGAGGGAGAAAAAAGAAGGGTTCATAGATTTGATGAGTTATGTTTCCCAAAATATTGAAAATTCGTGAGTTCTTCGCCATGAATTTACAAAATTCGTAATCCGTCAAAATTTGACTACTTACCGAGGCATTTGATGAAATGCCTAATTTGACTAATCACTTTCGACAAATATATTATTCATAATCCAAAGAAAATTTATATGAATTTACAGGAAATTATGTTACGATGACTGAGACTTGAGAATCACTTCTAAGATTAGGGACAAAGATTTTGTTTTGCTTGTTGAAATGATTCTGCTATCACTTCACGTAGTCACTCATACATTCATTTGTTTCCTCTGTTTGCAGGATGCTCTAGTTTTTGCCGGTAGAGAATTGGAACTCCAATTCCGAATGTCAAGACCCCTGACGGACTTCATGGCTACTCTTCACAAAAACGGAGTTGAAGAGAAACGATTGTCTAAATTTGTGTCACATACCATTACAGATGACGATATCGTAACCTTCCTGATCAGTTTTCCCGAGGAGGGACAGTATGGCCTAGATATTTACACGAGAGAAGTCAATAGTCAGACGGAGAATAGCGGGGAAAAACATCTTCTCACACACTGTTGTAAATATTTAATCAATAGCTCCAAACGAAACTGACGAAAAAATTCCACCTCTGTGTAAGCACAGTGGGGTCCAAGAATGTTGGCTGTGTGGAGACACACGGATAGATTACCAAAAAGTGTTCGCGCTAGGGAAAAAATTGTGTATATGATGCAATCGTTGGATAATTTGCACGAGTTCAATGGGCCTGTTGCAAACTTTTGCTAGAGCAAAAGTAAGAGTTGCAAAATAAGAGAGCAAATAAAATCACGATGAGCGCATTGGCAAAGTTTGAAATGTATTCCTAACTTTACAATCTCCATAAAAAATCTGCGTTTTTTTCAGCTTCGCACTTCAAAAACGATACGATGGCACAAGTGAACATTTCGTTAGAGGAGTCGTGCCATTCAACCCTTTCGCAATATCGGAATTGGGAGCACAAGACCAAAACGGATCTTTATCAACGCGAAAAAATCGTGAATTTAAGCACGCTGGGTTGTTAAAAAATTGTTAAAATCTCGTCCAGGCACATGTGTTTTGGCGGATTGGTGTCAGCCATGTTGAATATTGTATAGTATCCAAGTGTGCAGGGGTTGGATAGAACGACACCTTTAACGAAATGTTCACCTGTGCCGTAGTATTGTTTTTGAAGCGGGAAGCTCATAAAAACGCAAATTTCTCAGCAGATTGTGAAGTTAACAGTGCATTTAAAACTTTGCCAATGCGCTCATCGTGCTTTTTGAGACAATTACTGATAGAGATAACTCTTACTTTTGTTCTAGCAAAAGTTTGCAACAGGCCCATTGCTTGAAGCATACTATACTTGTTATATATACTTGAATTTGTTTCAAAAGGTTTTTTCACGAGTTGCAGCTGCGTATGGAGCAAAATAAACCTTGAGATTAGTTTTTTCAGTCATTTAAAATCATAAAATCTGTGAGACATATTCAATTTCATGTACAAGTAATACGGCGAATATGCAATTTGTCCAAAATCAGACAGTATTGTACGAGTGCAACCTGCATTATAGAAGTGCTCTGAGAGCGGTCACACATCCATCGGTTTCCTTCTCATGAAGTGATCTGTCTGAAAATGCTGCTCAAAATCTGGAATTAAGTCACGTGATTTTTGCCTAGTACGGCAGAATTATCATCTCATCATAAGTACAATTTTCTCCTTGAACATGGCATGAGATATCCTAGGCGTGATACCTTACCTCGATCATGAAGCTCAATGTCGTATGGTCGTATGGTCGTATGGTCGTATGGTCGTATGGTCGAAAGGAATGTCTAAGGATTATCAATTCACCGTATCATAAGTTCTAAGAGAGGGAACGTCTCTTTTTTTTCAGAGAGTCTTTTTAGTTAAAGAAAAGTTAAGCAATGCACTTCTCATTGTACATTCCTGCCATTGAACTAAACTTTTGAACTTCTGAATTGAGTCTATAACTCAAAATTTTGGTCCACGTCAAGACCATTTTGGATGCAAATTATGATGCCTTAGCTCCGATCATGAGATGGGTTCCATGCGTGAATTTCTTGTATCTATGCAGTGATCTGCGAAAAAATATAATAAAATAAAGATGAAACTTTCAACATTTGTCCTTGGCAGCCTAGAAGACCTACCATAGCTTTATCTACACGAATAAAACTGATATCATCACTCGTGCAGACCCCAAAAATCAGGAACAAGTGCCGCATAATTTTTGTTTGAATCGCAAAATGTTATCTTCATGACGAAAACTTTTAAAACACATGTTATGTGAAATTAAAATTTTGACAAATATGGTTCAATTTTAGACTAGCAATCGTCATAGCTCGAGTAGTGAGAAATCATGCCACGCGAATATCAACAGCTCTGCAATTTTCCATTGAACACACAGATGACATGTATCTTTGAAAAAGAATAAGTCCCCAATGACAATCTAGTGAAACAAATCAGTTGATATCAGCCTATTTTAGTCTTCGTTAGTTTGATATCTCTCTGAGGATAGCTCGATGTTAATTTGACGTCACTCAGGAATCAGATCGATTCTATTTTGACTTGTGTAACGTCTAAATACCCATTGGACATCAAATTACTTCAAACAGCCTAATGTAACAGAGTCAGTCTGATTAGACTAGTAATTATACTTTGGTTAGCAATACACTTTTGCAAAATATAAAAATTTCAAAATTGCATTGAAAACTAAGAACCCTGTGGGGAAATTTAAGTAGTTTTTTGAAGGATGTATCTAGTGAAAAATATCAATCCATCCAACCACTTTTCAGGTCAAATAATGTTGATGTACAGTTGAAACAATTAAGTGCCTTTTTTCGGTGCTTCTCCGTCTTACAGCCAAAAATAAACAGGAAAACATTGGAGTAAAATCATAGTTTGAATGATATAACTGACTCGATTTCATTTATTTTTATGTTGAAGGTTTACCAAAAATGGTGACACATTTGCATATCTGACATTCTCCTATCTTGAGATTCAAAATAATTATAGTTTACCAGTTAGAAGAGTAGTTGATAAACTTCTCTATTAGGATAAAGCACAAAAACATAGCCCGAATATACGGATAAATAAGGAGGGAATTAAAACATGGGTAAACAAGGCTAAAACACTAAAAGGCAGGAGATTTCGAGCTGTTACCAACTGTTTTTTTGGGGGGGGGGGGGGGGGGTGTTTTTTGCAGCTATCCAACCATTTGGTTCGTAACAGCTCAGAACGTCCTGTTTTTTAGTGTTTTTAATGTTTCAGCCTTGTGTAACTATGTTTCAATTCCCTCCTTATTTATTCTTCTCTATTGCATGACTCTCTCTCTTGCTAGTGCATGACTGAGTTAACAATGATTGGAACAAATAATTAAATAATTATGCAGTTAATATATGGATGCCAGACAATATGTCGATGAAAATGTAAATGGTCTGCGTCCAAACGGTCATGCAGTTTCAACTCAGTCTATTTCCCTGTACTAATAATCTGATGGAAATAAATTTTAGGTTTTTCGAATTCACTAAAAAAGAGAAAAAGAAAAGTGACTAGGAAATGTTCGAATCGAATAAATTCATTATCTGCTTTGGCTTACCAATACACAGAATTGCCTTGAATTTGTTTCCGAAAATAATAGAGGTGTTTTGATGCCTTAAGTTTCCATGGCTAAAATACTATCAGATCACTGTACATACATTCACCGGTTTAAAACCGATTGAACAATCTATTTTTTTGTTTTCAATAAGTTATTTTTTGAGTTTGTTAACTGTAAGTAATACATCTTTGTATGATAATTGTTATTTTAATTTTCAAGTTTATTTTATTTTTTTAACTTTCCTTTGTTATTGTAAGTTGTATTTTTAGACTCAGATATATATTTCTTGTTTGTATGTTTAAACGTAAGACCGTTTGCATGAATGAACTTTTAATTTGCAATTTGGAAAGAGCAAGGGAATTTTCAAAATGGCCTCCGATTTTCAATTTGGCTTGCTTGTCCCAGCTCAGAGGGATTTATTAGCGCATGAAGAGTCAAATAATTCTTGATCATAAAAGAAAACAGGCCTCATACATCAATATCCTTGTGTTTAAAACGTACACAAATGAAAACACCGTCCGTATGTCTTGAGCATATGGCAACCTTTCAAGTACTCAAATGACCCATTTCTGAGACAATAGAATATTTTAATGGTGAAACTGCAATTGGCGTATTTTGTTTCAGATTAATCAAAATCTCCGCTCACATTTTACTTTTTGAAAGGTCAATCAAACCAACACTACTGCTCGACATTTTTCGCAGAATAATCCTCACACAGAGAAAGAAAATTAGGGGATTCCTCAAGAGAGGATGTTAAGTCTTATTTTATCTTAAAAACAAATAATACAAGAAGTCGGAGTTATCGCACATCAAGATGCGGGTTTTCAATATTTTTCTTCGACTAGTACTTCTCTTTACGCTGAAAAAAACAGAATAGCAAGCTTAACCCATTCCCTTAACAATTAATTTTGCATGCCCGCGCACAGAGCTACTATTTAATTTTGCTGTAAAAAGCTGTATTTGGTTTCTTCTTAGTTTTCTGCTTTTCCTGATAATTAGGAGCGAGTTTTTGGCCTAATTCTTATTAGTTATAACTAGAAGGATGTTTATATGAATAAATTTGCCTGGATGTTGCACTTTTTCTGCAGTAAGTCAGCTTATGTTAGGGGAATTTCCTGAGAAAAAAAAAAAAAAATGTTAAATTTAGGAGAAAAATCTTATTTATTGTAAGAAAAAGTACATGCAATGAGCCACAAAACCTCTAAAACTCTTAAAACATATGCTCAAATAAGATCTAAGCACCAATTAGCACCANCCAAACGGTCATGCAGTTTCTACTCAGTCTATTTCCCTGTACTAATAATCTGATGGAAATAAATTTTGGGTTTTTCGAATTCACTAAAAAAGAGAAAAAGAAAAGTGACTAGGAAATGTTCGAATCGAATAAATTCATTATCTGCTTTGGCTTACCAATGCACAGAATTGCCTTGAATTTGTTTCCGAGAATAATAGAAGTGTTTTGACCATGGCTAAAATACTATCAGATCACTGTACATACATTCACCGGTTTAAAACCGATTGAACAATCTATTTTTTTTGTTTTCAATAAGTTATTTTTTGAGTTTGTTAACTGTAAGTAATACATCTTTGTATGATAATTGTTATTTTAATTTTCAAGTTTATTTTATTTTTTTAACTTTCCTTTGTTATTGTAAGTTGTATTTTTAGACTCAGATATATATTTCTTGTTTGTATGTTTAAACGTAAGACCGTTTGCATGAGTGAACTTTTAATTTGCAATTCGGAAAGAGCAAGGGAATTTTCAGAATGGCCTCCGATTTTCAATTTGGCTTGCTTGTCCCAGCGCAGAGGGATTTATTAGCATGAAGAGACAAATAATTCTTGATCATAGCTATCATAAGAAAACAGGCCTCATACAGCAATATTTTTGTATTTAAAACGTACACAAATGAAAACACCGTCCGTATGTCTTGAGCATATGGCAATCTTTTAAGTACACAAATGACCCATTTCTGAGACAATTGAATATTGATGATTATTTAATGGTGAAACTGCAATTGATGTGTTTAGTTTAAGATTTATCAAAATCTCCGCTCACATTTTACTTTTTGAAAGGTCAATCAAACCAACACTACTGCTCGACATTTTTCCCAGAATAATCCTCACACAGAGAAAGAAAATTAGTAGATTCCTCAAGAAAGGACGTTAAGTCCTATTTTATCTTAAAAACAAATAATACAAGAAGTCGGAGTTATCGCACATCAAGATGCGGGTTTTCAATATTTTTCTTCGACTAGTACTTCTCTTTACGCTGAAAAAAACAGAACAGCAAGCTTAATATTTTATGATCATCATATAAATCCTTTAATAAACGCTCGTACCCGACACATATTATCAAAATGCAGTACTCGATCAAGCTTCAAACCAAATGTATTTGAAATATATTGCATCGTTTTGAAAATCCTGTCATAATGCCTAAAACACATTCTTTTTAGATTCCGAGTAAGTATAGAGAGAAATATTTCGCGCGATTACTAAAAGAGAATCTCCCAAATATTTGGGAGAGGAGGCGCCCTTCTCTGAGCTCTTGAGGCAATCTGATTATGCCGATTTTGACATTCCTGTGACCTCTACCTTATTCAAATAGAGTAGTTCATCTCCACTATGTGATTTATTTTTGTAAATTCTAGTCTATGCAATAATGTAGCATAACCACTTTACATTCTCCATGTCTTCAATTATTTCCTTTCCCCTCCTTAATTTTAAAGGCTTTATTGGCTCAGCCCACTTAAAGCCAGATTTTTTTTAATGACGCTTGAAACTTCCTCGACTTGAAATCCAGTGGCGTGGCGTAAATTGCGATGTATCGATTGTTATGCCATTTAAACCTATGGGAAAGAATCGATAAACAGGGTGTTGGCAGCGAACACCTTCATAATAGATTCTTTACCAAAGGTTTAAATGACATAACAATCGATATATCGCAATGCACGCCACGCCACGGTTGAAATCTCTTCGAAGGTTGATCAAATATATTGAAATTACTTTATTGAAGTCTTTCAAAGTATTAAGGTTCTCTAGGTTGGCCCTAAAATTTTAGTCTGAGTCAAGTTTGAGTAGTTCGTACTGAACAGTAATTGACAGTTCTCAAAAAATTGGTTTTGAACATTTTGAACTTCATAACTAAGCGAATAACCTGGGGCTAAAAGAATATTACTGAGCTATTAGAGATAGTAGTAAAAACTTGCTGTCGCATGTTGTCCGGGTCAGTGGCGTGGAGGCCTTTACGATATTAAATCGATTGATCTGTCATTTGAACCTATGGAAAAGGATTGATGGCAGGATGTTCGCAACGAACATAATCGATTCTTTACGATAGCTTCAAATGGGAAAATATCTATAATCGATCATTCACGACTCGCGACTGGTCCGAGCGCACGCTGTGTCCGTCCGTGAATGATGCATGAGGGACTCAGTGGTCTGTTGAAGACGGCGACAGCGATGCGGAATAAAACTCCTTCAAATGCAATGGCAAGCAATCAGTCTCACAGTTGTGCTCGAATAGTTGCTTCGGAACTTCGATCGAGAAATTGAAGGCACTGGAGAAGTGACGCATTAGAAAGTGACTTGGTGAGACGAGAATATACAGCTCACATCAACTACTGAATTAAACTAACTTTACTGAGATCTATTCTGCCGTGTGAAGGATAAACGCCGTATGAACATTCGAGAGATACCAAATTTCTTCCAATAGAATGTTAATTTTTGAGGACGGTTATGAATATTCTCTCTTTAAATTTTCAGCTGATATAGAACTAATTACGAGGAAAACTCTCTGAAAAACTGGACGGCAAATATTCACAAGTTCTTCGGAAAATTCGAATTTGATGAATGGAAATTTGGCAACTGACGTAGGCTCATACGGCGTTTTTCCTTAGCATGGCAGTATTACGCGCGGTATGAATGTATATTTTCGAGCCAATGTTTAATTAGGTTCGTTCACGATGGTTTACGATGTAAAAGTGAACGAGCCGTGGACGTAATAGCTAGTTGCAATACCTAAAACATTGATCAGTAGATCAGTAGACGTGCACTCGTTGAAAATGCCAGGCGTGGGAGTGCCGTCAGAAACAAAGGTTGTCTCCTCCCTCTATGTCTCTTCGTGCTTGTTGGATTGTGCATTACCGGACACACCCATGATTTGAAATTTTATGCAGGAATCACTCGCTGAATTTGGCAACTGAATATGGGAGTCAAGAGTCAACGCTCAACAGCTGAAATTTCGTAAATTCAAGGTAACGAGAGGGATTCTGAGAGGAATCTCCCTTTTCCGAGCTTTCATACTCAAAAAACTTGATAATTGATTTTCTTACCTTCCTATCCCACCTATAAGATGGAATCGCCGGAAAAAAGTGATGTTGATTTAACATCCTGGATGTAAAAAAAGTGTGCAAGAGCTTTCAAATACTGAATTAACCTCTACAGCAGTTACTTTAGCAATGCCAAGAAGTAAAACTAACTGCAGTAGCTGGTAATTCAGCATTTTGTAAGTTCTCGCACCCGTAATTTTTTTACACCCAGAATGTTAAATCAACATCACTTTTCTTTCGATGATCCGTCGGCAACTCCAATTTTTTCTGCTTTCTGTTTTTGCTCATCTCTCCTGTTGCTATAATTTCCCGGAGCAATCCCTATCACACGATGAACGCGTCATGCACCCATGCTGCGAATTCTTCTCAATCAGTAGATATTCACTCGAGAAACGCCTCCAAAGAGTTAGCCAGGCAACAAACATATTAAAGAGCTCGAATAGTTTTCAACTGGAAAAACATACAATCATCTTCAGCTCAAATGAAGCTAAATCAAGCTGATCTTGTTGGTTGCATACTTCGATCGAACCAATAAATGATTAGATCCAACACAGAAGTCAGCATGCCCTGGTAAAAATTGGCAATAAGAGCTGCGTTTCAAAATACCATAGGAATTCTTATAGCCGGCTAAAGAAGGCTACAGAAAATCATGTAGCTGGCTGTAGAATGCGGAGAAAATCATACGGCCGGGCTATACTAAGCGATAAAAAAGTATGCAGTCGGGCTATAGTTCCTATAGCCAAGATTTACACTTTATCCTCTGGTTGTTGCTTTTTCGCCATTGATTATAAAAGGCTATAAGACATTGTGTAGAAATTTGTGAGCTTTGGAAATCATTAAGTTTGATACGGAACCACCTTAATATTTACAAAACACACATTATATTTTCCTTTAATACATATTTATTTTGATCAATTAAAATGAAAATAATCCATACAGGATGTGAAAACATTTCAAAATCATGAGTTGAATAACGCTGACTCCGCCGGATTAAATATTAGAGCCTAACACAAAGCGGAGCGGCAACGCACTGGCGCCTACAAACCTAACAGGGATACTTCACGCATTGCGCAACGCGTGAAGTATCCCTGTTAGGTTTGTAGGCGCCAATGCGCGTTTCGCGCTGGCTGCCCGCCTGCCGCGCCGCAGCGTGCCCCGCCACGGCGCTTAAAGCAACTATTTCATACCAGAGGTATTGCACAGTATCATACAAAAGTGAAGGCGCTCTTATATATTAGGACTGGCAGGCATCCATCAAAAGTACGGAGCTTTCCTCGCCAAATAAATCAAAATACTACGGTCCAAAAAGAGAGCAGTAGTCCAAAAACTCACCAAGTCCTAGCATCCGTAATTAGTAACGTTTAGCATACACTTTATCGCGTGGCTGTTCTTCAATCGCCATCGGCTATAAAAGGCTATAAGAGCTATTGGAAATCTTACAGCCGGCTGTGGGTCTATGGTATTGGAACACAGATTCTACTGCCAATTTTTACCAGGGTGACCGAGACGTCTCGAGAAAAAAAAGTCAATAATTTTAAAATTTTAAAGGTATTTTTAAAGAAAATTTGGCAACGCGGAGAATGAATGTTGCTGCATTGCCAAACAGTACCTCCGAATTTCCCGAATTCATCGCAGGCAAGAACCGTCTTTCCGAGATCAGCTGACTCAAGATCGTAATGGATAGAGAGTGACAATAAGGTTAAGTTGTTCGACCGTAATAGTGATTGATACCAAGTTGAATTCTGGTCTATTGGTAAAAAATTATCAGTGCGGTATAAAAATAACTGAAAACTGCTTATATTAGTTTTTGTTGAGCTTTGGTCGTAATGCTGTGACGGTGGATCGTTTTCCGAAAGGCTTGTTCTCGGCTTCCAACCGAAAGAGCTCCCGAGTGCGGTTTAAATGTTGGCAAGCAATGATGAAACTGCACTGTTTGGAACGGACTTGGATGGTTTTTAAATGGAGTTTCTTTTGGGCCGGAATGTATTAGATGGATAGCACAAGAGGGCTTCGGCGGCAAGTCACAGCATGCATTATAGGTGAGAGGTCCGATCTCCATCGCATTGCCTCTAAAAAGTTTGTTGATTTTAGAAAAACGGTAGCTTTACTAGTGGTGTTTATGATAATTTAAGTGAGAGGGTACATTCAAGAATCTGATTTTAAGAACTGCCCGTCTCGTCCATTTTTTTAATTTTTTGCTTATGTATTTGTTTTTTGACAGTGGCTCTTAATTTTAGCTCATGCTCAAGAAAACAAAAGGAATATTTTCCTGAATCAAGCTCGCGCCATTTTGTGAAAAACCACATGTACAACGTGGAGTGAAAGGGAACTAGACCTATAAAACCAGAGGCAAATAATTTAAAAAAAAAAAAAAAAAAAAAAAAAATCTGTTTTGGCGAAGATGATAGCCTGAAGGTGACATGCTTTCTTACAGAAATGCACGATTGTTATAAGTCCTACTAGCTTGTGAGGAAACTTTCTTGGCAAAAGGAATTTTTACGAAAATTTAGTTTCAATTATTGTACTTGTTTAATTGAAATTCCGTAAAATTTCACTAAGCGTTTCTATTTTACAACAGTGCCGCTATCGTTATACAGGACAGCAGCTTTTCAAAGAGCGCTAAAAAGTAGCTTGCCCTCTGTTTCAGCTAACCAAGGGTTATTTCTGATCGGCATAAATTTAGGCTGGTCGTCGGCCGTGAACGAGCATCTGCTGTCCGGAGTCCTGGGCTACAAGTACACGCAGGACCAACTCTCATGGGCTGTCTCGCTCCTCGACCTGGGCACGGTGTTCGCTCCCCTGCCCACGGGCTATCTCATGAACAAGATAGGGCGAAAATTCACTTTTTTACTCATCGCCTCGCTCTTCACCCTCTCGTGGTGCCTTAAAGTTATCTCAGTTCAACCTGGTTTCCTTTATGCGGCGCAGATTTTGGCTGGAGTAGCTAGAGGTAATTGTACCACTAGACTTTTGCTACAGCGAATAAAAATGTATTATATAAGTCTTACTCGGATACGCAGATTGGAGGCGATAGAGCATGCAAGTTTGTTCCAATAATCTGAAACCAAGAGAAAAACGCAATTCACAAACTTTGACATGCATCAAAACGAGGATAAACTGGCAACATCCGTATTTATTACATATGGATTGCATTTTGCAAAAAGGAACCACGTGAATTGCGATGTTGCTAAGATTGTGCAACTTATTTTGTCTTGGAAAAAAGCCCTGATTATCCATTGACAGTATCTATTTTACTCGCTGAAAAGTGAATCTGAAAAACTGAATCTTAGACATAAATACCATGTAAAGTTCATATTTTTTCATGATTTCAGTTATTTTGCTGCAAAGAATGAATTTGCACAATCTTAGCATAATTGCATTGCTTCTGATTCTTTTTTGCAAAATGCAATTCATATACGGATTAAATTAAACTTAAACATTTTAACCAAATAAAATTAATAATATTCCATTGCGAAAAATATAAAAATCCAGAAATTAAAACAAAATGTTAACTAAAATTACTAAACTATTTAATTAAAAAATAAAACCCAATTAGATCAAAAGTTTATATCAATATACCATATCTGCCGTGCTAAGGAAAAACGCCGTATGAACCTTTGGATGTTGCCAAATTTTCTCTGATAAAATACTAATTTACTGGGAAAGTTGCGAGTATTTTTCTTCCAATATTTCAGACAATATTGTGCGCATTTTGATTTAAAATATCCGACAGTATCAAGAAAAATGTGCATAACTTCCTTCCAAAATAAACGTTTTATTAGAGGAAATTTGGCAACTCGAATGTTCATACGGTGTTTTTCCTTACCACAGCAGATATATGGTAGTGCTCATATTTTTTATACCTACCATCTTCATCGATGGGTTTAAATGTTTTATAAATCAAATGTATCTAATCATTCGATCAATTTTATTATTTTGTATTCTGTTTTTAGATTTATTATTAACTTAGGTTCACCTCTATTAATTTGGTCATGGAACAAAAAAGGAAATCTCTCTGTGTGTAGGCTATAGGAGCACGACTTCAACGACATAAAACTCCTTCAATATTCTAGGTAGGCAATTATAAATGCATGCCGGATAGCTAACGTATCAGGCACGTCTGAAGGCGACTTAAACTTATCGCACAACTTGAAATCTACACGATCGATCTCTGCAACCGAGTCCATTCGTGTCGGAATTCGTGTGGGAATTCCGTTTTAACTGGACGAATAATCGAATTTCAAATTCCTCAAAAGACCCTTGTATTTCAGGTGTAGGTCTCACTGTTACCCCGATGTACAGCGGCGAAATTGCCGAGACGGGCCTTCACGGCATGCTCAGCACAATCTTCAAGCTCATGTTCTACTCCGGGATGCTTCTCATGATAATCGTGGCGCCCTACATGAACTACACGACCATCAGCTACATGGGACTCACCTTCTCGCTCCTCTTCTTCTTCTCCCTTTTCTACATCCCCGACACCCCGTACTACTATTGCGCCGTCAAAAAGGAGAGAGAGGCCTTCCAGTCGCTCAAATGGCTGCGGAACCAGGACAAAACCGAAAACGCGTCCGTCCTCAACAAGGAACTCGCCATGATCAAAGTCGCCATTGAGAAGGTAAATTGGACCTCATTTTTTAATTGGAGATACATAATATGGACCACATTTTGCGATTAGGAACTATAAATTCCAGCTCAGTTTAGAGACAACGTAAGTAACATTAGTTTCCCTATGCACATTAGAGTTTTTTTCGGATGAGCCAGAAATTATAGTTCTTAATTGCAAAATGAAGTCCATGTATTGTTGTCTAAAACACACAAGAAAAACGGGTAACCAAGGAAACAAAACATGAAGCCTAGGACGTTTTGGGGTGGTTTCAGCCCCCCTCCTTGCCCAGGAAACAAAAATATATAAAAAGTTATAATGATGAATTGTGACATCATCAGGCGGCATTTCCCATGTAAACGAATGTATCCTAGTAGACTAGGTCCTTCTGTCTTAACTCCTTCAATGATTGTTTCATCTAGAAACCAAGGATATTCTTGTGCTTAGTTCATTCAATGGTTTCCGCATATACATGAAATTCATCAAATTTTGGACACCTGCAACTTCTCGATTTCGCGATAGGGAACTACTATTCCCGGCTTATCTACAGAAGCACTTATTTGTATGGGAAAGTAGATTGCACAAGTGATGTTTCTGAAAAGATCTAGAAATGGACGCATTTCTGTCAAACGGAACTGTTTGCATGATAACGTGAGTCCTGTTACGCATATATTCTTATGGGTATCAGGGCTCATGTCTTGATGCACATAGTTCCGTTTGACAGAAATACGTCCAAATAATAGTTCCTTAGTTCAAAATTTGATCAATCAAAACCAGAGACAAGAGACCCTCCACTAGGATCATGTCCATGGTGGAATCTTTTACTTTCGGGACTTCAGCATTCTACTGTTGACCTACCTACATGGTTGATGTTCAACAACGTGTTGCCAGTTTCGTTCTGCAAACAAGCCGAAAATGGCCGAAGTTTAGGAAACTTGTTTGGCCCATGTCGTCACCCGAAGCTCATCATCCACCATGTAGGTAGGTCAGCAGCCGAAATTAGGGTGATGACTGTTGCTCCCTTATAATTGTCCATACGGCACTGTCGAATCCCCGAATGTAAAAGCTTCCACCTAGCGCCAGGAGGCCAGTTGAGGGTCTTGTCTCTGATCAAATCTTACCATCATTCCAGGTCATGGGCGAAGACAGCGGGTTCCGCGGCCTCATAATGAAGCCCTCGAACCGCCGAGCTTTATTCATCGTCCTGGGACTCTTCATCCTCCAGCGGATGATCGGGCTGAACACGATCATCGGCTACGGCTCCATCACCCTCCCCAAGGGCCACCCGTTCATCACCCCCCAAACCGGGATGATCTCCTTCGTGGTGGCCCTCTTCATCTCCAGCGCCCTCATCGCCCTCTTCATCGACCGCATCGGGACGAAGCCCTTACTCATATCCTCCTCCATCGGCTGCGGGTTCTGCACCTCCGTCATCGCCGTGTACTACTGGTGCGACAGGACGAACGGCAAAGCCGCCGTCGCCGGGTTCTTCTGGGTCCCGTATTTGTTCTTCGTCCTGGAGGCCTTCGTCTTCAGTATAGGTGTCGGCGTCGTGCCGACCGTGTATCTGTCCCAGTTGTTCCCGATTAATGTCGTTGGGCAGGCGTCGGCAGCGTCGGTAATAGTGGCGTCGTTTGTGACGTTCGTGATCAACAAGGCGTATTTCTACGTCGGCGTCCAGTTCGGCATCTTCATGATGTACGTGTTCTTCTCGATGAGCGCTTTCGGCTGCGCCGCCTTCACGCACTTCTTCGCCATCGAGACCAGGAAGAAGAGGGATGCGGAGATCGTCCCGGTTGGGTCGGTGATCGAAACCGCGAGTGCCAGGAAATAGAATGGGGCTTTGCCAGAGACAGTATTTGTTAGAGCACTGGAAAAAAAAGCACTTTGGATCTAGAGTCCAGACTCTTGAAAACATTGACAAGAAACAAAACTCTTGATTCAATCGGATTTTTGCTTGAATCAAAACGAAATCCGCTTAAATTAAGAGGCTTGGTTCTTGATTTAAGCTAGATTCTGATTGAATCAAGAGTACTTTTTCATGTCGATGTTTTCAAGAGTCTGGGCTCTAGATCCAATGTGTTTTTTTCCAGTGAGACCCCGCACTAAAAACACTAGGAAAATAGTCTATTGGAGTCCGGACTCCTAAAAAATTTGACAAAGAAAAATCCTCTTGATTCAAACGGATTTTTGTTCGAATCGAGGAGCAAGTGTCTTAATTTAAGCGGATTTCCTTTTGATTCTGGCAGAAATCCGATTAAATCAAGATTATTTGAGGCGTAGGATGCAGGAAGGGCGGTGTTTCAGGATCTCCAGTGCTGATTTTTATTCCAGAGAGGAAACTATTGGGCGAAGTTTCCAAACTTTTAAATTTTCAGCACTGCGAAATCATTAGGAATGTTCAATAAAGGTTACAATACCTAAATTACGTACATTTGATTTAATTATAACGGATGAAATGTTAGCTGAGATTTGGAGACCGCGTAAACAAGAGATACTCTTTTTGCACACAGAGCTCTTCGTTTTTTCTTGTCAAATTTTTAAGAGTCTGGATTCTGAATCCAAGAGATTTTTTTCCCCCCAGTGAACCTGCAACGTAATCGGGTGAGACCAGGGTTAAGTATACGGAAATCGAAGTTATTCTTCGCCTAATGATGATTAATGAGTAATTTGTTGAGCAATAAATTCGCCTAATGATGACTGCGAGGTGGGTGTCAGGGTGAGCACTTTTCTAAGCGAGTTTTAGCAAATTGGATGAGAGTTTCTCAAACCAATTGCTCAACTCTTTGGTCTTCAGTCGTCATTGGGCAAATCTGAATTTTAATTTTCAAAGGTAACTTTTACACCAAAAGGGACATAGCAACGCGGGGTCTCTAAAATATGCTGTCTCTAAACTTGGTTGTTGAATCGTGCTTTGATAGTTAAAACTTGAGGAATGTCGGGAGAAGAGTGCTATAATTGTCAAAACATCAAGTTGGATGAATCTGATTATTTTTTATTTTTCGTCAAGTTTCAGTCGTTCAGCAAACAAAATTGTCGATTCCCGGCTTAATTATAAGGCTTGCCTTTTGATCTGTTGCTGAAAGATGTTCAAGTGTAATATAGTCGTTCCTTTGCTTGTAAGCATATTTTTCCGGTAAGTAACCTAAGTACTACTCGGATCTTTTGTATATAAACATTTTGTAAAGTAACTTATGTGAGAGGATGAAAAATGTAAACAAAATGATAATTTTTTTAAAATAAAAATTGATTTTATAATGGTATGAGTAAGATGTTGCCTTATGAAAATGAATGCTGATCACCCCAGGCTAAAATACTAACAAAAAGAAAAATCCATGCAAGAATACCGAATCAAAACTTTATGAGGAAGAATGTTTCTTGTAGCGGTAATATTTTAATGGCAGGATTGCGATAGGAGAATAAGACGTTTCACCGTCGCAAAGTTTCAAAATTTCCATTCATGCTCTATTTTTTTCAAATAAAAACTAACAAAAATATCTCTGTAAATATTTTTGGACAAGTGGACAAAATGTACTGATAATTTCTGTGAGAATTTTCAAAAAAATGTTGATGACCTTTCTTCATAAAAATAAAAAATATGAGCGGCTATTTGAAACGTCGCAACTGGAGATACGCACGCATCCTCTGATTTCCGCCATTGATTTATTTCAACAAAACGAGAGACATCTCTGCCTACCCTAAAGAAAAGAATGAAAGGACAAAAATAGGAATATTGGATTGAAACAGCAAAACAATCGGTGCACTGTTTACTCCTGCATTAATATCAAGAGTCTGTCAAAGGCCATTACTATAAAATCATGCCTTTCAAGAAATAAAGGCGCGCGCGCGCATCTATGAAAAGCCCGCAAATTTGAATTTGTAACTGGAAGCGCGCCACTGAACGTTGTGCAGTAAGTTACTCGTGCAAACTACACTGATTAAGTTTCCATGTTTGTCACTGCAGCCCCGTTGAATAAAACTTTACCCCATATTCATCAACAAATAATTAAAGTGTAAATCACAGTATCAACTTATTTGCATTTAGTGTTCTCTTAAAAAAAGAAAGAAAAAAATTGCAATTCGCATGTTCCATGGCGAATAAGCTAGTGTAACATTTGTCTGAGCTGTTGGTAATATTATCGACACTCAGCCATCAGCCAATTAAAAGACAGGATTCACTCCCGCGTTCCGTTGTCGACAAAATTCTCGTTGACGGTTGAAAAAAACCTTGAAACGTCGGAATCAGTAGGCGGCAACTAGTTTACATGTGTGTGCGTGAGTCATGAATTGAATGTGTCTTTAGCAGGAAGCCGGTTGATTTTATTCAGGAATTTGTTGAGTTCTTTTTGAATCAGTGTTATACAATCGTGTCTTATTAATTTCGTGCCTGTGAATAGTGTTTAGTGTTTTTACTCGATTTTTAGTTCGTGAGTTCGATGTCCAAAATGAAATCCGCGCGTGGTAGGAAAGGTTCTGTGCCCCCAGAAACTCCATCGACTCCTAGAAATCCTACACCTTCCACCTCCCACGAAAGGGAAAGGCCAAGGAGTCCTTTAAGCCCTGCAAAATACAGTCGACGTCAAGAAAAGGCCGATCTGCAAAATCTAAACGATCGACTGGCTTGCTACATCGAGCGGGTACGGAGGTTAGAATCTGATAACAACAAGCTAACCAAGCAAGTGACCACCTATGAAACCAAGCTTAACAGAGAAGTGACTGACGTTAAAAAACTTTATGAAGATGAGCTTCAAGCTGCACGAGCAGCCCTTGACAAGGAGGCAAAGGACAAGGCCAAGTTGGAGATTGATACACGGCGGATGTTCGAAGAAAATGACTACCTCCAAACCGAGTAAGTTCCACCTCACGATATTTTACAGCAACGCTGTCTTGTCTATAATCTATTTTCCCATCCTCAACAGAATGAGTGACCAGACGAAATTTTGCTCTGGTTCCAGATCGCATGCGGGCATCGCATGAGATTGCCCTCAGCGGTGGTTGAGAAACCACTAGCATGCGAAGGCTCCGTGAACTGTTCACTATCCGCATTATCATTGACAGGGAAACACCATTAAAAGGAATTTATGTTATTCATTGATTGAGCATGTGGAGTCAGGGATCTAACTTACGTCTAATATACTGTGTTCTCCTGTCTGTACAGGCTCTCACGCTCTTGAGATAGATAAGGACCGAGTCTATCTTCTATCCTTTAACTCCTATCAAATGTCAGCAGACACTTGTATGTGACTGCTGCATTTTAGCTGAGAAGTATTTTAGTTAGTTCCGAAAGCTGTAATCGAAAAAATGTCATGTAGTTTTTAAGGGATAGCATGATATCCTAAAACTCTATCTAAAACTGAATTTCTGTCTCCGCTGATAGCATTGCTTAGCGGAAGCTGATAGAAATGGGTCTGATAGCAGCAGTCAATGCTAATTAATCATTCATAGAAGCATTGGGTGTAGATCAACACTCGGTTACCCAAGCACATTATTGTCTCTTCTGCATCTAGGAAACTACCTTAAAAATGCTCTCTTAACACTATCCTGACCGCTTTTCACAATGATCAAGCACCTTTTATGACACAATAAAGTCTAATCAACAAGAGGTAAAATTAGGTGTCAATTAGAAGTTGAGGATAGCCAGTAGGGACCATCAATAATAGCAAGACAGAACGTCTCAATGTAACTTATACCTCTATTCTTACTCCTTGAATTGCATCTTGCTTGGATATGTTCGGTCACTTTAAACTAGTTCATCCTAATTCATTTTCCTGAATGTTAGCTAAGGAATGTCACTTCTGAGGTATCCGAAATTCTAAACATGCCTCTAACTTGCTCATTGAAAGTTGAGACCCGAGCCAAATCTTGTCTTTATCAATCCTTGTCAATCTTGCCATCTGAATTCACGTGGCAACCTGTTGAGTGGTTTTCACGGAGGGCCGAGCAGGGATTGACTTCAGAGGTGGATGAACAGGGATGGTCGCATCCCGTACCCTCTCGACATGATGTAGTCACGTATAGGTCAGGTCATTAGCCACTACACTGGCAACTCAACTTGAGATGTGACCACCTTGATCGACTTCAGTATTAACAAATGATGAGCAAGCTCTACCGACTGCCATTCAAATGGTTCAATTATGCTGAAAATTTGACTGTGGTTCTCCATAATTTGAGTCTGCCAGTTCTTAAACAAGAACTTAGTTACTCATCTCCCAGCCTTTCCTATCATTTAATTTTGGAATAATAGAGAACATGGTGCTAGATGATTCTACGATTGCCTTGTTGTACACCTTAAAAATTCTGACGATAGCTGCAATTTGAAAAACCAGAAAAGTCAAATTTACAATGCTGTTAAGAATTTCATCAACTTATTTTTACTTCTCAATCACAAATTATTTTTATGTCCTAATCAACTTCATTTTGATTATCACTGCACTAAGTAAGTACAGTGTGATTATTTACTTGCAAACTACCAAGAGGTGAAAAACTCATGTAGAAGATATGTGCCTAGTGCGCAATAGTTTTTTTGGTTTTTCTTTTCTGGAGGGGGAGGGAAGGGATCTTCAAGTGAGGCTTTGATCAATGTATACTTAGAAAAGTTCAAAACTCAGACTTTGAGCTGGGCTAGTATAGTTAAATAATTTTTCCTGAGATAAATCATTTTTCTCGAAGTTCCATGTATAAAGTGCAGGTTTATCTGTAAAAAAAAATCAATGTGAACATTGATAAAAATTATGATTAATCATAATCATAGTTCTATAGGTGGTAAATAGTTTCATTTATCAACACTTTCTTGATACCTAAATGATGAATAGCAATTTTCGTTTGGGTTATCAAAAAGTGGATCAAAGAAGAGTAGATCCATGTCTGAAGATTTTATTATTATAGTTTGACATTTATTAGAGGAAAAAAAAGAGTCCTTAGTATAGCTGGAAAAATTTCCTAAAATTGAAATCAATGACTCATAGATAAGTTTTTCATGGCGGTATCTTTAACTTTATTTTTGAGCTACCTAAGTACTTAACTTCAAAATTTAATCATAATTTTTCAAGACAATTATCCGATTTTTTTTTTTAAAAGTATAACCCTATTTTATCATTACTTAATGGAAGTTATGTCTTTAAACGATGTTATCATTATTGGATTCTCCTCAAATCCATCCCATCTGGTGAACTTCACATCAAGTAATTTTACAAATCGGTGAACTATTAATTTTATTTATCAGAGCCAGTAAAACAGGGAAGTATAGAAGTAGGAATCATAATCTCAATCAAATCATTGAGGATTAAGGGTAATAAACAAGTGCTGTAGCATCTGATAAGAGGGCAATAACACCAGTCTATTAGTTCTGAAAATCCTAAACAAATCTTAGTTTTGCTGCATTATAGTTGACAAGTGGGATGCTTAAACTTCATTGAGTAACAGTGGCCCTTACCCCTTTTTTTTGAGACTTCTGACAAATGCAGCAAATCTAGACTTTTACCATCGAGTAGAAAAGGGGGAAAAAACCATCTTGGTAATAGGTACGAAAAGTGCAAACTGCAACCTGAATTAAAAGGGAACATAAATTCATCAATAAAATGCAATTTTAATTCGCTCGTTGCTTATTAACTAGAAATGTATAGTTTTTTTTCTTAAAGAAAACCTGTTTTTTTCCGAACAACCGAACAATCAGTTCTAGAATCAAAAAAATTAAAAAAAAAAATTCGAGTAAAATAGGTCAAATGCGTAGGTTCGCCGCGTGATAGACAATCGCTTTTTACACTTAGTCCGCAATTCTCAGAAACTTTCTTACATTGTTAGCCAAAATGAACGAACTGTATCAAGTAGGTCAGCGAGAAGTCCAGAGCGGATGGGCGTTGCGAAATTCTCAATATCAAGTTCATTCATACGTACAGTTTTCGTCTGTAGCATCTGCCATTCAGGTTGCCATGCTGGAAAGAAAAAACAAGAAAAAAATTCGCGGTATCAGTTTGCAAACCCTAGCTTCTGACAATATATCACAGTCTTTTTTCTTGTTTCGTGTAAAGGGAGCTGACAACTAAGGACTGGCAATCTGATCTCTCTAAAGGAAATTCTGCCCCTGTCTACCTAATTTTATTTATTTTTTTTTTTTTTTATTTCGGTCCTTAGCTTGATATCTCTTTCCAGTAATCATTTTTAGGTACATGAAATGAAACTTAAGTGGGTAGTAAAAAAACATACTTAAAAACATTTCTAAATATTGATGTAAATTGGTAGGCCGAATGATTGTAAGAAAGTTACAAAATTCCATCTTTCTACTACCTGTAGAATGGAGGTAGATCAATGGTACGGAAGCTCAGCAGTAATAACCCCTATCAAAACCCATCAATTTAAAAAAAAAATAGGGGCGCGCGGTTATGGGTTGAGTCAAATGGATGAGTTCCGTTTTTCTTTTCTGTAATTTTTTGTTGTTGTTTTTGGTTGGCTCTGTGCTCTTAAAAGAAAGTTAGTAATTCCTACAATGTCGAAAGGTACGGACTCAAATCCCCAGGGCTATTTTTACAGTCACATAATCGATCCTACCCTCGTGAAGGATCGAACCACACTCGAAATTTTCACCAGGCCATTGACTCAGTTATTATTCTTTAGTTCAGTGGCGTCCTAGGCGTATTTTGGTCTCAGGGCTGGGTTAGACGCATTGTGTCCAGCCGTTTTTCACTGCTTCTGATGAGGTCTAAAGCTGTAAATAAAGAGACTAATTAATATGATTAATTGCGTCACAGTTTGGCATCATCGCTCCATGCCGGTTAAAAGCCCGGCCGGCCGGCTTGCTCCACGTTTTGGGTCCTTCACTCCTCGGCGCCCCCCCCCCCCCCCNGGTGGGCCCCCCTCTCCCGCATCCCCTATCCCTCCCTTCCTAGGGGGCCCAGTCACCGTAGGCGTGCTCTTAGAGTAGAAATAACTGTGACGTCATTTTACTACTGCCTTGCGTGATTCACCGCGGAGTGGCAGCGTGAGGACACCGTTGTCATTCGCGTCGATATTCGTCGGCGGTTTTTTAAGGAATTCGAGGATTTTTCTGACGGATTGGCAACGTCGCGACTTGATGTAATCGGTAATCAGCGCCGGCCGGCCCTCCCTCGACGGGGGCCTTGAAAATGTGTATATGGGTCTTGCTGTCGGGCCGAAAAATTACCTCCTGCTCCAAATTTTCTTCTCGCCTCGGTACTTGACGCGGCGCTGTGTCCCGCAAATTTAAACGGCTAGGATAATATTGATAGACGCCCATATATACTGCCGTGCTAATGAAAAACGTCATATGAACACTCGAGAGTTGCTAACTTTCCTCCGTTAAAATGTTTATTTTGGAGGAAAATTGTATATACTTGTCTTCGAAATTTTCGGGAACTCTGGGTAAAATTGCGAACAAAATTTTCAGAAAAGTTCGAAGAAAAATATTCATAATTTTACCAGGAAATTCGTGTTTTATCAAAGGAAATTTGGCAACACCTGAAGGTCCATACGGCGTTATCCCTTAGCATAGCAGTATACATAATATCAGACGAAGGAACACACCTTCACTCTTAAGTTACAAAACAACATAAGTACACAATGTTTTATTCTCACAAGAAAAAACAGTTTTTTTCCGTCCGGAATTACGCTGAGTTTTGACTAGCCCCTTAAAGTTGTTATAGTCTGTAAAATTTTCTACAAAAACTGATCAAATAGCTTCCGAATAAGAATACAAATAAGTAGTGATCAAAATTTGGCAACGCTAAAATATAGTTACGTTCTTTTTTCCTGGAAACGAAACCCAGTTGCTTAAGTATGATATTGGAGAATCTGTAAGTATATCTTCCTAATGAATTCGATCGATATGCTTTTTAT